GACAGAGCATGAACAGGGGAGGGGCAGAGAGAGGGAGACACAGAATCGGAAACAGTCTCCAGGCTCCGAGCCATCAGCCCAGAGCCTGACGCGGGGCTCGAACTCACGGACCGCGAGATCGTGACCTGGCTGAAGCCGGACGCTTAACCAACTGCGCCACCCAGGCGCCCCAACTTTACTTTTTTTTAAGGTACTGTAATTCCCATGGAAGTTCACTAACAATATTTATGTAAAATGGAACTAGTTCACAACAAATTGTTTTTATGTATGTATGTATTTATACAGATTGTTTAAAAAATATATCAAATAAGGAAGGCAAATGATACAGGGCCTTTGGACCTAAAAAACAAAATACATAGGCAGGAAGGAGGTAGTTGCACAAGTCAGAAATAAATGAAGCCACCTGGCTTTTGTAAAGAACAATAAGAAAGGGCCCTTTTAGAAAATAGAATCTATTCTCCTTGTACATGCATTCTAGGTAAACACATTTCTATGAAATGTAATTAGTACCAGTTACTAAAAACATCATGTTCTCCATTGACAGATACTGTGGTTTCTCTATGGTACTGTTCAAATAGAACATTTTACCCTCTTATGCTTAAATATTGCTGTGTGTATTTCTTCGTGACCACAGAAAAATTCAGAATAAAAAAATTTACATTAACATCTAATTTATTTTTGCCTAGCACCCCAGTAATGTCTTTATAGCAAATTATAATAAAATTCTGATCAAGGAACACATTGGGGATTAAGTATTGCATTTAGCTGTGTTATTTCTCTAATCTTTTAAAGTCTGGAAACATTTCTGAGTCTGACCGTTTTTACGACATTTCCAGGCGCCCCGTACATTTTGAAGAGTATAGGCCCGTTGTTGCATAATATCTCTCGCTTTTTGTTTGATGTTCTTCATGATTAGATTGAGGGTAAGAGGGTGATACAGAAGGGATGTGACCTCAGTGTATCATATCAGGAGGCAAAGTGGGATGTTTTGAAGGCAGTATTTTATTGGTGCGTGCAATATAAGAGCGCAGGCCCAAGGACGAAGTCTTCAGTGGGCGGGTTTCGGACGCTGCGGAACGTCACTCAAGTCCGTCGTTGCTGGGAGCACTGGCTTCAGAGACCCTCCACAGAACCCCCCCTCCAGCTATGCCCGCAGCCAACTCAACTGCCTCTCCATCCAACAGCTGGTTGAGGTTGGGGTACAAAGCCCCGACCCCTTGCCTCAATTGTGACTCTGAAAGGTCATCCCAACTCCAGAGCTCCCTGTGGGGTAGGCTGACGCCTCTACTGCACCTGCCTCTGAGTTCAAGTTCTCCTTCTGCCTAATCCTGTGGTGCTCTCTGCACCTGAGTGGTTCCAGAGATCACTCCCCAATAAATCTCCTGCACACGAATCCAAGAGTTACAGGGTCTTTTTCCCAGGAAACCTAACCTACAACCAGGCCATTATGTATGTGAGTGATAATAATAACATAATATATAATTTGATTTTCAAGTATTACAATTGGTCTATTTTAAACATTGGAATGTTTAAGGTTCTATGTGTATCACTCCTCCTAAAAGAATTTTATTCCAGCATGATTCTACCATAGGAACTATTGTAATCAGAGACCAACAATGCAAAGATGTTAACAAGAGACTTTGTCTGGATTGCTTAGGACAGATCTTAATCCTTAGCTATGCATTTCTAGAAATTTAACTTTTTCAGAGATAATCAAACTCAGAGAAATTAATATAAACTAAGAGTAAATGGAACTCAGAAAAGAACCTGTGGCAATTTATAATGAAAAATATAATTGTCTAGCAAACCAAAACATTTCTGTTGGCTAAGTAGCATACCCTTAATCCGTAAGAAAATGTCAATTGAAGTGAAATCAGACATTTTCTTGATGAGTAAAATGATTTGTCTGATTTCAATTTATCTGATTTATCAAATCTGGTCATCTTTGCACCCTTCAGCCCTGGTGGGACATACCTACAAGTAGACCATTTGTGGTCTATTCATTTCCGCTTACCATGGTATTCTGGCCCCAGACCATTTAAAATATACAACTTAGTGCTTATAAATATAAAACTCAACCTCCTAATGGTCCACTACTATCCACTCTGATTCTCCATACTATCGTCAGGGTATTTTTAAAGTGCGAATTGACCTGTCACTCTTCTGCCTGAAACCCTTCAACAGTTTCCTATTGCTATTAAATGAAGATAATCTCCTTAACCTTGTCCACAGAATGCTGTGTGGCCTAATCGGAAAAAAAAAAAAAAAATCAATTTTTTCAAGGCCTACTTGGGTTACTTCCTCCAGGAAGCCAAATCAGCATAAAATGTATGCGGTAAGCCTCTGAAAACAACAACCTGATTCACAGGGTGGTTGGAGAATGGAATGGAATGAGAAGCAGATCCAGTAACTCCTCCTCGACAATCCCTATCTTTAGATTTATAGAACTACTCAGCAACAAGACAACCATCAACAGAGCAACAACCGACACTAGTAATGATCTTGTCTGCCCCAGACCCTACTTGAATTTTCTATGTTCAAATAAGCCACAGGATTTGTGACTTACTTCCCTACTACAGTGAGGCTGAGTCTTGACCTCAGCCATAGCCCCAGGGCCGAAAGGGAGAAGAGGAACTTGGATGGCGTGCCTGTGAAGTAGCTGTCATTTTATATACCTTTTCTAATTTAGCTTTCACGACTGTACCAGATGGAGGAGAGGGTCTTTCTTACCCAGATATTCATTCCCCGAATCCCCGGTGGTATGAGACTATTTGAAGAAGCAAAAGTCACTAAAACATTAAAATAATTACTAGCCAATTGACCTATTACAAAATGAGTCTCCACACAAACTTCCCTTCTGTTTAACAGTAGGGTCTATCTCAAATATTATGCTAAGGTCTTAGTCTTTCTTGGGCATGATTAAAAATATGGATAAGGCCTAGCATGACCAAGCACGTGGGGAAGTGGGAATTTGCCTGTGCTGCTTGCTGGTTATAGTGGAAATTAGTACCATCTCTGGGTAGCCATTTGGCAAAAGGGTGCAAGTGTAAAATGTGCATTCTATTTCACCAAGTTCTAGGAATTTGCCCTAACGTTGACATTCTCTGGTAGGAAGAAAGAGCTGAGAAGGAAGTCCAGTTGTTTCAACTGCTTTAACACAGTGGAAACTGTTGAAAACAATGGTTTAAAATAGAAAAATGTGAACGTCAAAGGAGGTCAGAAAACATATTTTTTTCCAGAGTGACCCTCTCTATATGATTATGATGTAATGTCCAATGTAGACTGAGGGATGTCAATCCATAATATCATACAAGTGTGTCAGAAAAACTACACTAACCAAATCCCTAATGTGATTCAGCCTTTGCTCAGTCTAAGTACTGCGTAGCTGCAATTGTAACCTAATTAAAAATTTTTCTGCTGTGGTAAAGTACACACAGCCATTTTTTTTTTTATATTTACTATAAAATACTGGCTCTCCTTCCAATATCTTAAATTTTTTTGGGAACAATTATCCCCTGATAATGAGGACCTCCAAAATCTAAATTATTCCTGTTATGGATGAGTTAATTGAGGTTTAGAGAGTTTAAGAAATGTGCCCAAGAGCACCAGGCTAAGGAATCAGCCTTTAGTCCAGATATGGACCCTAAATGTGGTCCTCCTTCCAACACACAGTGTGACTCAGGAGAGACCCTCTGCCCTGCTTGCCCATTTGGTCTGTCCTATTCTCTGCCTCCAAGCATGGACAGTTTACTTCAGAATGCGGAAAATAGGTCTGCAAGTTGTACCATGTCTGAATTTCCCTCCAGGTCCAGCCCACAGTAGGAACATCTACTAGCATCCAGGCCACGTGGGGGTTTGTGTTAGAGACGTTCTCTATCTGGACTGTTTCTCCAGTCCTAGATATTTCAACATTAAAAAATAAAAATAAAAAATAAAGTAGATAATTGAAGGAGTAGGACTTGCACTTAGAGTCACTGAATAGGCTGTAAAAAAGGGAAAAAAATCCCCACCTAAAAGATAGAAGGTATAAAAAAGAAAGCCCCACCAAAACCTTTTGGTTTATAGATTTTCTGAGACCTCACACCATCTTGAAAGAGCTAATGCTAAAATTCAAACAGACTTTGAAGCAGTCATAATTACTTTTAAAGAAATCAATTTTGTTTCATATAGTCCATATTAAATGGCTAATAGAGAGGAAAAACCAAATTCAGTATAGGAACTCTATTCCTATACTATACACACATGACTTACAGTTAAAAATGTGAGTGGTATCATTAAAATTCCTTTTAAAACTGGAAAGTAATCGCTTTTTAAAGTACAATAATTTTAAGTACTGGAATCACAGGATATGAATAGATACAACAAAGGGACTATAATAATTTTCTAGAATGTATTCACAGTATTTCAGTTTTTCTTGGGCTGCCTATATTAAACATCAATGGGTTTTCATAAGTTGAATTCGACTATTATGATGAAAAACAGTCTTTGGTGGGGCTTCTTTTTCTTACTTGAAAAAATGAAGTTTTTGTACTCAACCCTAAAATTAGGAATGGGGAAGACAGCAAGATTTAAGGAAAAAAAAAAAACCCCACAGCTTTTCAGTTTTAAAAAGAAAACGACTTTTTAAAATTGAATTATAATGTTAGTGAATTTCTAATATCAGTGAAGATCATTTTTAGGAAACTGAAGGCACCAAACAAATTTCTTTTTTTCTTTTTAACTTGAGCTTTAAAATCTTTAAACCATATCTAGTGTAGTATATATCATCACAAAATATCACAGTGCCTTGCACTTTTCTTTTGTAAGGAGTGTTACTGTCAGTTTTTCTTTAAGAGGTGAAGAAAGGGCACCCTATAATAGCATTTGGAGAGTGGTTTCCACATATACAATGCAATTTCACATGTATACTGTACAATTAGTACAATCGCCAAATATTTCTGGTTTTCTCTCCTTCTTGGATTATCAAGAGATTCTATCCTGGCTCCGTCTTATTTGTATAGGGTCATGCAACTACTTCTGGCCAATGGGTTGTAAGCAGAAATCTCTGCTTGAGACCCTCCAAACTGCTTTTCCTTCTGGCATGAAGACTAGCAATGTTCAAGATGACAGCTTGTCCACTGGCCTGGAACCCCAAGTGACTCTAAGGAGCAAAGCCTTACTGATGACCTATAAAGGACATAAAGCATAAGCGGTAAATAAATCCTCACCATTTGACGCCACTAAAATTCTGTGATGATCTGTCACTGCATCGCTTAGCCTCATCTTACTCATGCACTATATTTCCTATATCACAGATGGAAAATCCACTGTATCTTTATCTTTGTTAGGATCAGGAATTTGTAAAAATCAATAGAAAGCAGACAAGAGTCAAAGCAGGAAAGGTCCCATAGAGACTTTCTCTCTCATCATGGATGTAAACATCACCAAAAATGTTCCTTAATTTCAGAGAATCCATTTGGCTTGTAGTGACAAGAGAAAAACGGGTTCCATTCTAAAATATGTTTTTGTTATATCACTAAATATTATTATTTAAAAAATTTTTTTAAATGTTTATTTACTTTTGAGAGTAAGAGAGACAGTGTGGAGTGGGGGAGGGGCAGAGAGAGAGGGAGACACAGAATCCAAAGCAGGCTCCAGGCTCTGAGCTGTCAGCACAGAGCCCGACGCGGGGCTTGAACTCACAAACTGCGAGATCGTGGCCTGAGCCAAAGTTGGACGCTCAACCGACTGAACCACCCAGGCGCCCCTCACTAAATATTATTAATGGAAATGATAATAGTTCGCTTGAACTGAATGTGATTATGTTCTGGGCCCTATACTTGGTGCTTAATTTATCTCATTTAATTTCACTTCATCCTCACAGTGATCCTAAGAAGTAGCTATTGATATTGAGATCTTCCTAGCTTCAAGCTAGTATTCTTTCCTTTATGGCCATGGGGTCTTATAATTTTCAAAGTGCCTTTACCATACATAATTCTACTTCATCTCTTCAGCAACTATTGTGTTGATATTCTTCATTTTGCAGATGCAGGAATAGGACTTCGGGTAACTTTTTTGATCTGTGCTGGGTCATACAGTGAGTATTAGAACCAGGTCCTCGGAATCCAGTCCTTTTGGTTCTTTATTACACTTTGCAGAACAATAAAAATAATGCAAAGAGATGGTTAAACACAATGTATTTTTCACTTTTCCTTAATGCTTTTCTTCAGGCATCTGATTTACATAGGTGCTTTTCACTTTGGGGGAGACATAGCCAAAATCTTGGAATGGTTTAGACCCTCTGTGATAAATAGTTTGCCATTTAGTCAAGCAGGTTAAAAATTAAAGCAGGCATCAACCTGAAGTCATTGTTTCCAGGTTTATAAAGTGCTTTGCAGAAGGCAATCTGGTGAGAGTTTTACTTTATTTTTTTTTTTTTTAATTTTTTTTCAACGTTTATTTATTTTTGGGACAGAGAGAGACAGAGCATGGACGGGGGAGGGGCAGAGAGAGAGGGAGACACAGAATCGGAAACAGGCTCCAGGCTCCGAGCCATCAGCCCAGAGCCCGACGCGGGGCTCGAACTCACGGACCGCGAGATCGTGACCTGGCTGAAGTCGGACGCTTAACCGACTGCGCCACCCAGGCGCCCCTGGTGAGAGTTTTAAATGGATTGTCATGTGTTTGATTAAACGGTCCGGGCAAATACTCCTGAAGCTTACAGAACAGAGCCTTTATTTTCAAAGAAACTCAGTTGCATTTAGCCTGGCTGAACTAGAGCCCCTTTGAAAGTCAGGACAATGACAAGAGGAGCCAGTAGTCAAACACTCTTAGGGGCAAACTGGAAAGGCATTATTCCATAAACTTTCTATTTTTTCCATAGTAAAAAAATTAATAGATTTCTATCAGGACACCCTTCCAGGAGGACTGGAAGTACCTATTCTCTCTCTCTCTCCTTAAAAAAAATTTTTTTAATCTACTGGCATAACATTATACATCATAATTTTTTTTCATAATCACATTAAGAGAAAACTTTTATTTTGTGTCTTTCATTTAAATCTTGAAATATACATATTATGATTATATATACATATATTATTTTTCAAATAATTTTCGTACAAAAGATATTACAGTCTTGGCAACGTGCTTTAAAAGAATTTCCAAACCTGACAAAATATTCTGAACATCTCCTCATGTCAATCATTTACCTATATATGATTTCTAACACATACATGCTATTATACTGTATGGGTCCGTAGTAATCTATTGCACCCATCCCTACTTTTAGACATCTAGGTTAATTCCAGCTTTTCACAGGTGCAAATAAATAATGCTGGATAAACAGCCTTGAAAGTGAATTTGTGCCCTTAACTCTGGTGTGTTTTAGGTGGTAGTCTTAAACCCATTTAAAGTATGGGGATTATTATCACAGTAATAGCTAACATTCACTGAGCATATTGAAAGTAGGCCAGTGACCTAAAACAAGTTTCTCTGTCTCCAGATATCTTGTTTTTGCTTTTGCTCAGGAGTATTTTGTCTACCACTGGGAATCTGAGAGGCTGGCTTTGTCATTCGCTATCTAGTGTGACCCGAGGTAAGTCACTATAGCTCTTGAGCCTCAGTTTTATCATCTGTAAACTGGGGATAATTATACCTAACTCACAGGCTTATTGTAAGGATTAAATGAGATATTACAAGCAAAGAGCACAATGCTTAGCTCACAGAAAGAGCTCAGTAAATGTTAGTTACTCTTTAATCTTAACATGGAGCGAATCAGAAATTAATATTACTCTTTTATTCACACAGAGAGGAGTGCTCAACCAGCTTGTCTTAATAATGATCTCTCTCTCTTAAAAAAATCTTTTTAATATGTATTTATTTTTGAGAGAGGGAGAGACAGAGTGCAAGAGGGGAAGGTGCAGAGAGAGTGGAAGACACAGAATCTGAAGCAGGCCTCAGGCTCCGACGTGGGCCTTAAACTCACAAACTGCTACATCATGACCTGAGCCAGAGTTGGATGCTCACCTGACTGAGCCACCCAGCTGCCCCTCCCCTCTTTTTTAATCACATTTTTTATGCTTTAAAAAATCTCCATACCTGTAGCTACATCTCCATTCTCATTCTTACTATTCGTGTCTTTTATTTTTGTTCCTGAATTAGTCTTGCCAAAGTTTTTCCTACTTCCTTGACTTTTCAAAGAATCACCTTTTGGTTTTTATAAGTCAAGTTCAGTCTTTAAAAAAAATTCCCTATTGCATTAATATTTTATATTTACATTTACGTTCTAGAACTGTATTTGTTTTTTTAATGTTTTACTTTATTTATTAAAAAAAATTTTATGTTTATTTTTGAGAGCGAGAGACAGAGTGTGAGTGGGGGAGGAATAGAGAGAGAGGGAGACACAGAATCCAAAGCAGGCTCCAGGCTCTGAGTTGTCAGCACAGCGTCCGATGTAGGACCCGAACCCACAAACCGCCAGATGATGACCTGAACTGAAGTTGGACACTTAACTGAGCCACCCAGGAGCCCCCTATTTTATTTATTCTAAAAGAGAGTGTGAGCAGGAGAGGGGCAGAGAGAGAAAGAAAGAGCAAATCCCAAGCAGGCTCTGCAGGGCTTGATCTCATGAATCCTGAGCTCATGACCTAAACTGAAATTAAGAGTCGGACGCTTAATCGACTGAGCCACCCAGGTGCTCCAGAAATATATTTGACTTTGTTAATCATAATAGAATTTACATCCATTTGAAAAATAGAATTATGTGTAGGATTAGTTATGTTTTGACCTATAATACTTGGTGCACATAAGGGCCATGGACCCCTGAAAGGGATTCTACACTAATCTTTACATCCTTCTACTTTCTTTAAGTTTCTTTTCTTTTTCAAGTTTCCTGAGTTAAGAGCTTGGTTTTTTGTTTTTACATTTTTGTATATTCTGTTAAATGCATTTAAAGCAATAAACTATCCTCCAAATACTGCTTTGACCATGTCCCACAATTACAAAGCTGCATATATAGAAAAGCAGCTCTATTCAGCCAGTGGGAAGGTTTTATTAATAGTTTCCTTCTAGAGGCACCTGACTCAATTGGTTAAGCATCTGATTCTTGATTTCGGTTCAGATCATGATCTCACAGTCATGAGATCAAACCCCGCATGGGGCCCTACATGGAGTCCTGCATCAAGCTCCACAGAGCCTGCTTAGAGTCTCTCTTTCCTTCTCCTTTTGCCTGCCCCCCCTTCTCTCTCTCTCTCTCTCTCTCTCTCTCAAAAAAAAAAAAAATACAGTTCCCTTCTATTATCATTTACTGCAGTCATTTGACATTCATTGGTTACTTACTATGAGGTAGTCCTAGGAGAGGAAAAGTAATACTGAAGAGTCACTTTGGTCAAAGAGCTTACATTTTCAGCTTACATGCTGAAAACAAAAATCAGATGAATTCTGGGAGCTGTAGAGGTTTTCAACCACAATTTTGCTCACGTTCTGGCCTATGATGTTAGCCTGTCTATGGACATTTAGCCTAGATTTGGAGAAGAGGGAATAAGCGAAAGAGGATAATAATCCATGTACAACGGTAGGTTAATAAAGTTAGCAATGGCTATGGTCTGTATCTGTTAACTGGGTTTATTCTCTGAACTTTAATTCTAATGTCTGAGAATGTTGATGATTGCAGTTTTGGAAGGCCCTACAAATAATCTCTTATTTAGGCCATGAGTTCTTCATCTGGGTGAATGAAACTTAATGAAAAAGTAAATATATCCATTATATATATATATACATATACCTACTTATATTTAGCATATATGTACATTCGCATATTTTTTTCACTAAAGTCTGTAAATTAGCATTTCTCCCATTATGAAAGTAGTCAGCAAACCACAGTAACATTAGCAACCTGTGACTTCACCCCAAGAGAAATCACACATATTTTCTACCACGTTGAAGTTGTTGCAGATATCTAAAATGTTGTTTAAATAATGTGCGTCATTACTGCAAAATTACTGTAGGTCTTGATCTTGTTATTTAATGCATTAATAAAGACACAAATATGTAACTGTTATCAATGGCTGTGGAATAAGTTACCCCCTAAATTAGTGGCTTACATAACAAATATTTATAATTTCACTGCCTCTGTGAGCCAGGAATCTGGCCTGATTTAGCTTGGTCTGTGGCTCAGGGTCCTTTCCCAGGCTGCAGTCAAGGTGTCAGCTAGGGCTGCGGTCATCTCAGGTTGTTGGCAGTTCTTTGCAGGCTGTTGGACTGAGTGCCTCAATCCTTTGGTGGCTGCTGACTGGAGACCTCTCTCAGTTCCCTGCCAAGTGAGCCTCTCCATAAGGTAGGTCTCTGTGTGGCAAGCTGGTTTCCACCAGAGTGAGCAAGGGAGAGAGCAAGAGGTGATAGCAAGATGAAAGCCAGATTCTTTTTATAACTTTATCATGAGAAGTGACATTACGTCAGTTTTGATGTATTTTCTTTTTCAGAACCGAGTCACCAGGTCCACACTCAAGAGGAGGGGTTGCACAAGACAATAATACTGGAAATGAAGATTATTGGGAGTCATCTTAGAAGCTGCCTACCACATAACTGTATCACAAATTCACTTTTTAGTGTTTCAATAACTGCATGTTAATAAAATCAATTTGCTTTGTAGCCCTAGATGGTTTAGTTTATGCATTTAAGGACAATATTCTGAAAAAGATCCATAGATTTCACCAAGCTTCCAGAAGGGCACATGGCTTTATTTTATTTTAGTTCAGGCACCTTCAACAACTTCTTGCAGGAGTTTGTTTAGAATAGCATCAGTTTAAAAACTGGAGGTTAAAGCTTTAGTCTCCATATTATCCTCTTCTGATACCCTAGACTAGTCCATATTACTCTAGTGGTATGAAAAAAATGGCATACTGGAAAGTATAAAATTGCTCTAGAACATTCCACAAACTGTTCTCCATTCTACTCATTTGAATTAATGTATGTATGAGTGTGGTGGAGGGAAAGAGGTGTATAGGCCTCTGTCAAGCATGTTTGATCACAATGAAACTTCCTTATACTTGTACATGGCAATTGTCATTTGAGCCTCAAAAGGACCATATGATAAAGGTGGAAATGATTTCCTCAAGAATACACTAATTACCACAATAGTGCTTTTTCTGTTACCAAGCAATGTATGAGAAAAGCACCGAGTGTAAAAAAAGAGAGAAGTGATGTCATGAGGCTTCCCTAAGTCTTTAGCATCTATCACTTGCTCTTGGTGAAGTTAAAGATAATTATGTTTTCTGCAAGCACAGTACCAGCTTCATATATTGCCTTAGTAGTCTCTAAAAGCCAGGGGTATTTGATAACACCTCCAATATGCAGATCAAAGATAAATTTGTTAACAATAATTGGGAACGATTCTCTTATTTGGTTTGCCCAGCAACTTTTCTCCCCAAAGACAAATGCATCATCTTCACAAAGTCATCTCTTTTGAGTCATGATGCAGGGGTTTTCCTCCTGGTTCACCGATCCTACATAAAGGAGCCCAGTACTGTCAGATATTTTAGATTTTCCAAGATAACCTAAGCAAGTTTTTCGTGTATGCCTCCCAGTTTTTTGTGGCGTTTCCAAATTTAAATCCCTTTCAAGTCTTTGCAGTGGAGTCACGGTGAGATGGAAAAGGGTCAAGGAACCCGGGTTACTTCTAGATCCCACAGCTAGTGGCTAAGCAACTTGGTCAGCCAATCCATCTTTGTTAATTATCACCTTTTCGTAATCTGCAAATTGCGTGGATTCGTGGGAATTATCTCTAAATCCCTTTCCATTTCCAACATTCTTTGCATTACACTGGGAAATAGTGAGAAAAACTCTGTCATTTAGGACACGTGACTAATGTGGCAACACATTGGGCACTCTCATAAGAGGCCTGAACCAGTTTTGAGTAGATTAGAGGTAAGTGAGGTGAGGGTGATTAGTAAGGTTAGTAGTGACAGTCCAGCCAACTCCTCCAGGACCATCAGGAATTCACCAGGCGTAAGTGGGTGGGGCAGAGGAGCGGGCGTTGACGACAGAAGGCTACTTCCGGCTATGGCGCGTATGACGTCAGGGCCGAGTCGGACCGGCCTAGCCACCGAGAAGCCGAAGAGGCAGGGCTCGCGAGAGTTCAGGAAGGCCGCCCCGAGATTCCGGCGCGGCCGCGGGTTCCACCTCCCGGGGGCGGGGCGAGGGCGGAGCGGGCAAAAGGGAGCGGACGGGCCCCGGGCCGGCTGCGGTCCGTGCGGAGGCTGAGCCGGCCGCGGGCGCGACCGGAGGCAGGTGAGTACGCGGATGCGGCGCGCGGCGGCCGCGCTTGGGGGCCTCCCTCGCCGCGCCGGCCCCAACTCTGCGAGTAGGGGCAGAAGGAGATCTTATGTGTCTTTGGGTGTCCAGGGACGACTCGGCTAATGTCGGGGCTGGCAGTGTCTCCAGTGAAGCCCCAACGACGGCCTTGGCCCGCCCTCTTGCTCCCCGAGGTGATACTAGCCCAGTGTGTCCGGAGGGTAGCCCTGAGCCCGAGGAGGAATCTTTGTGCTTCTCTGCTCTTCTCCCCTTCCACTCCTCGGCCCCCGAGCTCCCCGATCCCGGTCCCTGACTGGGCTTCATAAACAATAACAAATGTCGCGGAACCTTTCCTGGTACCCCGGGCTCGCCCGTCCCGTGCCCTCCAGCCCGTGTCACCGAGAAGAGGTATTCTAGGCATGGCTCAAATTGTGGGGGCTGCTTGTGTACCATTCCTAAAAACTGATGCGTCAGATTGCTAAACATTTCTCGGATCGACACAGTAAAGCCGCCCAGCTCCCAGAAGCACGGAGTGTTCAACACCGGTCTCAAAATCTGTCCCTACCCCTGGCACCGTAGACCCTTCTTTTAAACATCATGCTCCCACTCCCTTTTTTCCTCTTTACTGTCGGGGACAAACGAGTGGTTGCTTGGTATGGGAATAGGATAGGTTGTACCCGATTGAGTAGGAGACGTTTCGTCTTTAAAAAGTTATCAGGTTGACAGCAAAAGAACAAACTTTATTTTCAAAACCGGTGGCCTCCCGTTTACTGATGCGGCTTTTGCTTTGTGGCATCACTTTTTGGGTTGCAAGTTTGGAGGAAAGATATAAAAAGAAATGGGGGGAGGAGGGGCGGGAAGAGCTGGGTGCTGGAAGTGGTGGCTTGTCCAAAAACTGCGATGCCGTTCTCACTTGGTAAAATGCAGAACCAATGCTCTTGTCTGTTTCACATAACTTGTGATAAGTTCTGATAGAAGTCAACTGCTCGGAAAAGGCCTGAGTATTAGCTTTCTTACTGCTAAAGTCTGAGGAAACAACTCTTATGTGTTTTAATTTATGCCTCCTGGTTGTAAGGTGGGAGGGAGACCTTGTCTTTTAGGGGGTGGGGATGGGATGGGGGCTTCAACTTCTCAGGTCTCCCTACTTTAAGGCAGGATCTATTATTAAGTCCAGTTTTTTCTTAGGGTAGATTTTTTTTGTCTCAGTCACATGTGTATATAACATACTGGGAACCTCTTTGTATTTGATTGACCTTTCTTTGTATGCCTCAGGATATATAAAACAATTAAGTTTACTATACTCTACCCGGTAGCTGAGAGGTATTATATGTGAATTAGTCACTATTATGACTATTTGAGGAAGAGAAATTAGTCCAAAATATGATGTTAAATTGTGATTACATTTGTTCATTGCATAGGTTTATCAAAGCACTTTTATGTGAAAAATCTTGATCTCAAAAGTAAAAAAAAGAAAATTTGGTTTGATCTGGCTTAGCTTTGTGTTTTTCTCCTGGTTAAGATGACTGATAACGTTTCCCATTTGGCTGGAATGTGTTTAGGATGAGAAATAAATTGGATGTAGTTTTTGTACTCCTTTGAAAGGACCTGCTATTGAGGAATGAAAAAAAAATTAAACTTAGAAAAGCCACCTTGAATGGGTGCAATTCTTTTTTAGCCTTCTGTTTTTTTTTTTTGGTTTATTTTAAAATGAGTTAAAGAATAGAGACTAGGAATATTTGTGCAAATGAATAGGTATCCGCAGAAGTTTTTATGCTGAAAAATTTATTTCAAAAGGTAGGACACTATAAAAACAGAATTTGTAGAAAATGGCAACAAAGCAATGCACTGAAATCAACCATTTGTTTTCAGAAAAGTTCTCTCAAAGTAAGGGCAATGTCATTGTGTAAGCGAAGTTGGATAATACTATAGAAAATGCTTTCCAGTGATCCGGAATAAGTTGGAGGCTTGTTTTGTGTGTGTGTGTGTGTGTGTGTGTGTGTGTGTGTGTGTGTGGCATTTTTTTTTTTAGGAGGAAAAAGAGAGCACATATCAAAGCCAGAAAGATTTGCATCTCAATGTAATGTTAAAATTATTTTATTTTACATAAATAGTGTAGGGTGAATCAAGCAAGCATATTGTCTTCTAGCATCCCCAGGATTACATTAAAATCAGCAGATGGGCAAGTTATGATTAGGTTAGACTTGACATATGCAGAAATTATGCTACTGTATTTTTATATTAAAAGTACCGTGGGCTTTTTTGAATGAAATAATGCAAGTAAGCTTTTAAGGCATAAGAAATTTTTAAAAAAATATATTAGTTTACAAAGATATTCTTAGTCAGCAATTTAAGTGTATTAAATGAGTCCTTCTTTCTTCCCTCTCCCTGCAAAATTTTATTTAAGTCTCAACAGAATATTTAGCAAGGTAAGACCAGTACATAAGTGCATTGGGTTACATAAAGCTCCTGTCTCCAGGTAAAAGTTTGGTAATTGACAGGGTTTGATTGTTAAGAACATTTAGAGAGAGGGAGAAGAAAGACAGCCATGAACAATATTTGCTGTCTGGTGCACTCAGATGAGCTGTGGTCTCTATCTTCAAAGAGATGTAAGTAATCTACATTGGGAGGGAAATTTACCCAAATAACTGATACATGATGCATTTTGTGGAGAAGCCTAGGAGGGAGGGATTAAATTCTACTAGATCAGATAAGGAAGGTTTTGAGGAGGGAACAGCATTTGTGTAAATGATTTGGATGATTTAGTCATGATAATCATAATAAGTAAACACATTATATAATGATGATTGCTGCTAAACCCTTATATGTACTAATTTACCTGGGTTTAATCCCTGTAACAACCATATGGAGTAGGTATTTTTTATTATTTCCATTTTGCAGACAGAGTAACTGAGTTACCAAGACCAGCTAACTAGAAAATCATAGAACAAGGGTTCCAAGCCAAGAATTCTGGTTTATACCTGTCCCTGTGCTTACTCACTATCCTTATTTTCTCTTCCATTCTTGATGGTCTTTCTCAGGTCTGTTTCAAAAAATTGATTTTGGCAAATGCATTTCACTGACACATAAATTTAGGGCTCAATTTTCTAGAAAGACCTAGAAAGCTTCAAAATAAAGAAAACCCAGGTAAATAAGTTATTTTTGGAAAGTTAGGTAATCCATTTCAAGAAGTTACTCAAATGTATGCAAATTAAATATAACCACTGAGTGGGACTTTTGATAAATTTGACTTATTACCTAGTAGCATACCCATAAGGATTTAGGAATGGGAAATTGTAACTATATTAACTCCTTTCCCTAATGGAATGTTTGAATCATTGTATGTTTTGGCTTGTAATTTT